TGCGCAGTGGAAAAAGGGGGGGGGGGGTCCGTGTGTGTGAGTTCGTGTGTGTGTGTACAGATGGCTCCTGCGATAACGATCTGTTTGCCCTGGCGTGAAATTCCTCTCTCGCGCTCTTCGGGAGAGAGACAAAGGTGGTCGGGAGCACCTATCTTCTTATACTTTCGACTTTATTTCTCAAATGCCATTTGGTCCCATGTTCGCCAAGACTCGTGTTTGTAACTACGTCCTCCCGACACCTCTCGGTTTACCGAGGTTCGCATTGTTATGATGGAATTATTAAAAAGAAAAATAATTTTCATCCTGAGTTTAAGAGGTCCGTTTCCAGATTGTTGGAATCCTTATCCCTTGGTTCTGTAAGGTTCTATAATGGAATGTCGTGTAAGGTTAACACGCTGTTATCATTAATATTATATTGCAATTTCTTTAAAACTTGTTTGTCTGGTTGCCGTGTGTGGGGTGGGGTGTGTCTCCTCATCAAACCCGGCTGGCTTTTCCAGATGGCCCCTTGTGATAAGGTGTAATTCCTGCTTCTCCGCGCTGTGAGAGAGACAAAGGTGGTCGGGGTTGCTTGGGATATTGTTTAAACTCTTTCGTAAGTTTGCCCGTTCGCCTCATTCCTTCTCGATAACCTTTGATGTGACTCGGTATTTTGTTTCCAAGGTTTGTTTTAACAGTAAAAGTATTAAAGGTGAAAATCATTTGATAGCAAATTAATTATTGGATAATAATTCACTGATGTATCTGGTGGCCTGGTCTTGAGTGGAGTGAGCGCGAGGACCGCTAACTTTAGCTTAATCTTGTTATTGCATTTTAAATTTGAACTGTTGTTTTAAAAAAAAAATACAGTTTAACCCGTGGGCGTCCTCATTTCTGGCTTGCGGAAGGCTTCCCTCTGCGTGACCTCCCTTAGGGCACATCAAACTCTTGTTCATCTGGAGATCTTCGCAGATAGCTGCTAACATCCTCGCCTGGAGAGTTTTATTATTTCTTTATTTATTATCGGCCTGTTTATGACCGACACCTGGTTTTTCGTGTGCCTGGCTTACGGGTTTTATTAATTATTTTTTTTTAATAAAAAATATATGATGTATATAACGGCAAATATTGTTGTTAATATCAATTTTGGAAAAGGCTCATATACAACAAGGGGTGAGAGTGGATGGTGTCGGGGTGAGTATAGATGTTGGAGAGGTGAGCCTGGATGGTGTAGGGGTGAGCGTGTATGTTGCAGGAGTGAGGGTGGAGGTTGTAAAGGTGAGCGTGGAGGTTGTAAAGGTGAGCGTGGATGTTGTAGGGGTGAGAGTGGATGGGGTTGGGTGTAGCGTGGATGGTGTTGGGTTGAGAGTGGATGGTGTCGTTGTGAGAGTGGATGGTGTCGGGGTGAGTATGGATGTTGGAGAGATGAGCGTGGATGGTGTAGGGGTGAGCGTGGATGTTGCAGGAGTGAGCGTGGATGTTGTAGGGGTGAGCGTGGATGGTGTAGGGGTGAGAGTGGATGTTGTAAAGGTGAGCGTGGATGGTGTTGGGGTGAGAGTGGATGTTGTATGAGTGAGCATGGACGGTGTAGAGGTGAGTGTGGATGGTATAGGGGAATGCATGGATGGTGTAGTGGTGAGCGTTGATGGTGTAGGGTGAGCGT